CTTGGTGCAGTACTACTCGTGTATGTCTCTGACATAGAAATTGCTCTGCATTGAAAAGAATTGGATTTTTTTAAAGTTCAGATTTACCACATATCTTTATTCTCCTATTCCTTGTTTTGGAAGTGCTAGTGCAGGCAGGGCCAACTCCTGCCAGCCAGTGAAGCTCTGGCAATGCCCAGGGCCCAGCTGTGCTGCGGGGACCTCACTACAGGAGTGTGATGCAGGTTGTTTGATCTTCCCCACAATGTCAGTTGAGGGCTGTGAGTTTTATAGTTAGAGCAAGACACCAGTGGTCTCCTACATTGCTAGAGAAATATGCTCAGTGCCTCGCTCTCCTGTACACTTTGCAGTCTAGGAGGAGCTAATAGGCTTTCCTTCACCTCTCCACCCTAGATGGATTCCTGCTCTTCCAGCAAGTGCCCCTGGTCGAGATTGATGGGATGAAGATGGTGCAGACCAGAGCCATCATGAGCTACATAGCAGGGAAATACAATCTCCATGGGAAAGACTTGAAGGAGAGAGCCCTGTACGTAACACCTCTTGTCACTTACGGAGCAGTCTGTTGTTTGATAGCTACATTATATAAACCAAATTCAGTCCTGTAAATACAGTATAAAGGCATCAAAAAGGCTAAAAATAAGATTTAACCACTGCTTCTGAAATGCTCCTAACAGAAACAGTCTTTTATTCTTTTTGAAAAACATTCAGGTTTTGTTCGTGCTTACTTTTGGCTGTGAAAATTTGCACTATGTTGGTGATATAAAATTCCTATAAGTTGCCTTACTTAATTGGAAAACAGATTAAATAACTTCTGTGCTTTTTTTTCTACTATCTTCCCTGACCACTAGGATTGACATGTATGTGGAGGGAATATCTGATCTGATGCAAATGATTTTGATGTTTCCTTTCTCTCCACCTGATGCAAAGGAGAAAAATCTTGAGTCAATTAAGGAGAGGGCAACCAACAGGTACTTTCCAGTCTTCGAAAAGGTAAGTGGCAGCAAGTGTGTGTCTATCAAACTTGAGATTATCCAAAAAATTTATGCTAAATAATAATGTGTTTGTAGTGTAGGTCAGTTCCCAATCCTCACCTTTTTTGGTTATCTCAAAGAAGGGGAAATTCAGCAGCACATTTTCCTCTCTTTGTTTGCTTGTATTGTCAGGGCTGTGGTATTTGAACATCTGCAAAGCAACATGTTCTCAGCTGTACAGAAAAACTTTTCACTAAAGTGAAAGCAAGCACATGTGATTATTTTTCTTGAAGGAACAGTTCTATACTTATATTTGTTTAAAGCTCATCTCTCTACCATACTTAATTTCATTTGGAAAAGTGTCACTGGAGGAATGCAAAAATCCCTTGCATACAAATCAGGTAGAGAGATTAGTAGTACTTTGGTAAAACAACAGTCAGAGATTTATAAAACAACAAACCCAACCCATATGATTCATGCATCTGGCCATATTTCCTACTTTTGTAATATCTATTTTTCTTGGAAAACAATAATAAAGGCTGAACATCACACATATTCTTAGCACTAAAATAGGTTCCCAAAGGCAGAGATTTTCTTTACTTAGCTGTTGCAATTCTGCATTTCTAAGTTTGCTTCCTGATATCAGCATTAGACATCACTCCACAGGAAACATCTAAATGGGAGTACTATGAATTCTTTAAATTGCTTGTTGCTTCCTCCATTATCCCTAATTCTAGGACTGTTACAAGTCTACTTAAGCATGTAGTTTTATTTCTGTTCCTGGTGCCCATCATCGTTCATTATTACCAAGTGACCAAAATTTGTAGTCTGTGTACCAGAACACAAAATGAGCAAAACTTCATTTTCCCCTAGCAATAATGAAATTATTTAGGCTCAGCTTTAGCTGAAAAGTCCACCCTGAAATTTCAGATAGAATTGCTGCTCAGCTCTGCAGCTGTGCTGTGAGGCTTAGCTGCCAAGAATGCCCATATGCCCCACTCTCATCTGTAGGCCATGTTTTCTTGTCTTCTCCAGGTTTTGAAACAACATGGCCAAGACTTTCTCGTGGGCAACAAATTCAGCTGGGCAGATGTTCAGCTAATAGAAGCCATTTTAGCAGTGGAGGAGAAAGTTCCTGCTGTGCTCTCAGGGTTTCCTCAGTTGCAGGTAATTTAATTACTGAGTATGCTGTATTCAGGAGCTAGAGGTCAGTCCTGAAATAACATACTCACCGTGCTGGGTAAATCATATCTTTGTGGCCGGAATTTCTTTCTTCTTCTGTTTTTTAATTTTTAATTTTATTTTTTTTAGGTGTTTAAAACCAAAATGAGCAATATGCCTACAATTAAGAAGTTCCTCCAGCCTGGAAGCCCAAGGAAACCCCCACCAGATGCCCATTATGTAGAAACAGTGTTGAAGATTTTTAAGAAATGAAAGCATTGCCACCTTTGTTGAAACCCAAAATGCTGGGAGGGCAGGGGAAACCGTAAACCCCAAACCCTAAATCAAAGGAGAAGGAAGCTCAGCAAATTAGTATTGTTTTAGTTCAAACCAGTACTACAGAAGCAAAACAACCCATATGAGAAATAAAACATTCTGTTACACTGGCAATGTGACAGCAGCTTTGTCTTTATTGATTCCAAATGCTTGGCAAGACATGAAAACAAAGGAGTATGGAGGCAAAGAACTATTTGTAGGGTAGGAAAATTATTAATTTGGAAAAAGAACAATGCAGTGTTAGTAATATTTTCTACATGGAAAGAAGCTCAGAGTAAGAGCTATTGAAGAGAAGAAAGAGAAAACTAGCAGCACCACTTACCCTTTAAAGAAGTAACTTGTTTCAAGTTTCCATTCTTACATTTAAAGCTTGTGGGTGAATTGGATTTTTAAGGTCTCTCAGCAAAGTTTTTGCAAAACTGATTATTTTTCTCTATAAATCGGGTATTTCAAATCTCATGTATGATCATACCAGCTATTCACAAGCTGGTTACAAATATGTCACCTCTTAAGAGCAAGGTGTTGTGAAAGAAAGGTGCAGTCTGTTTTGCAGACTCTGGTAAGGCAGAGGGGGTTTATTTCTACATATTTAGGACAAAACACAGAGCGACAGATACTCAGGTTCCATAGAATTGCAGGTAAAAACATTTGCAGCAGACAACAACAGCCTTGAAAATTGGCCTGATGCAACAGAGAAGCAGCTGCTTAGAAGGAAACTGCATTCCAACAACTGTCAGTAACCAGATCTGATGCTTAATAGTCTATGACATGAGTGAAGAAAAAAAAGAAATTAGAAAAAGCATGGGAAAATGTAACTGAGGGAGAAAACAGAAGAATACCATTTCCCAAAACAGCTCAGTGAAGTGACATTTCTGAAAGTCAAGTTAGGAGACAGACTGTATTTGACTTAGTTGCCTGAAATCTAAATGGATACCTGTGACAGGACAAGAAATGTCAGTGTTGAGATAAATCACTCTCTGTAGAATTGTGCTCTTCTCCCTTACCTCTTAAGGGAAAGCTGAAGGGACTGGCTTCATCTAAAATTTAACTACTTCAGTTGAGACAGAATCATTTTGAGTAGTTCAGCTGTAACTGAAGACCATATGCTGAGCGATTCCTTCTGAATTTGGATCTACTGGAAGGAGACTAGACAGCTAGACCAGATGTAGGTGTCTACAAAGTTAGGTAAGACGAGTTTTCCCAAGTTGTCTACAGGATCATTAACTTTCAGGCTTGAACTCATGTTTTCCTGCCAGGTGGTCACTAAACCCAGGATGTCTCCTAGAGCTTGTCAGGTGCAGGCCTATGAATGGTAAATTCAGACAAGCTAGGTAAAAGAGAGTTTGGGTTTGTGAAATCACCAGATGAACCTTGGTGCACATGTTGCTGCATGGAGAGTTTCAATCTCCTACATTATCCTAGATTCTGTGTCATAAGTCATGTGAATCCAAAAATGTGGGAAACAGTTTCCAGCAGTGTCAGAGGCTGGACAGAAGACCTTCCCAAAATGTAAGGAGTAGGCAGAGGGACACAGAGCCCTAACCAGAATGGGGAGCTACAAGAGGTGCTCTGTCAGGAGTCCCCTTGTGTGAAGCCTGGCTCCCCTTATGTGCCATATGGATACAGTTCCCGTGGGATATGTTCCACCTGAGGACTAGGCACCTCCTAAAAGACAATACATTGCAGTGGTGACTCTTCTGATGCCCTGCCCTTCTGTGCTTCTAGCTGTAAATAAATTATTAAGCTTATTTTGTTGCCAAGTATGGAACACATCAATGTAACAGGTACCAACAGTGAGGACTGATAGGATGAGGATCATTTTCAGCTACCAAGCAATGAAGTATGCATAGAGGAAGGACATTAAGGAGACAGCCTGCTGTACTGTAACTGCAGGTGATAGCTACAACTATATTAACCACGTAGATTAAATAGGCAGGAAGGTGCATGGGAACGTATGCTGTATTGACTTTTTGAAATCCATTCAGTTGTCCAAAGAAAGCAGTCAGGAGTGCAGAGGGCAGTTTGCCTTCTGGTGCCACACTTCATTCACTGTCTGTTACACTTGTCTTGGGTGTGTATTTCTCAAGTTCAGGGAAACATTTTTGAAAGAAAAAAAAACCAATCCAGATGTCCAGAGATAATTCAGCAGAAGTGCCTTGAAGGAATATACACTAAGCAAGGCAAAGAAGCTTGTAACAGATTAAAGCTGAATTAGCTGATGTGACTTATGTAAAGTGGCAAGGTGTTAAAAGTAGAAAACCAGAAAATATTAGAATAAAAATGGGATTGGCATAGTAGTGTTCTTTAAACTGAGTGAGCTTCTCAGCCGCTACAATTATATTTAAGTAGCACGGTACCAAGTAATGAAAATAGAAGGCATATTACCATTTTGTGCTGGGATAGATGTTCCAAATCATCATGACCTCTCCTCTATCTTACATTTGTACATAGTCAGCATTAGTCAGGGATTTATTTTCTGTAGGTGAGAAGTAACTAAACAGAGTGAATTGGTTTTGTTTGCTTAAGAGAGAGAAGTTTCCTCTTTGCAGAGAAGTGTTTGGAATGCTCAGTGTAGGAGGGGCTACAGAGTTATATAATCTCAAGGCAGAACTGCTGAGAGCTTAGAGTGAGTTACACTGTGCACCCTGTAAGTGTGTTTTTTCTGTGTTCTTCACTAAAAATGCCAGGAATTGTAGTAAACGAAACTCAGTAAGTGAATGGATTTTATAGATTAAATGTGTGTACGTACTTTCTTTACTAATATGGTTGTGTGTACCAAATATTAAATTCTTAATCAGCTGTTTTCGAGGTATACAGAGGTAAGAAAATGAAATGTAGATCACAACTGGGGAGTGGCTCCTCTCACCTCCTTCTTCGTACCATCAAGAAGCTGGCATGTTCTTTGCAAGGGGAGTATGGTGGGGGTTTGGGCATTTTCCCTTTGCTGCTGTTAATGCTTCAGCTTTGTTGCTGACAGTGCATCAATGCCGTGAGGCTGGCATAGGCTGGGCACTGTTTGTGTGTGCTTGTTGCTGTTGTGCACGTGTGGGTCTGAGTGGAGTGGCTGACAGCCTGCCGAGAAACTGTGGCTGCTTTAAGTTGCTTCCTAGGAACTGCTGTTGCTTGAAATTCCAGCAGAGTTGGAACTGGACCAGGCAAGCATTGCCCTGTGGTTATGCCTGTGGTAAAGGCAAATCTGATGTTGCTGTGACAAAATCAATTTTCATGTCTTTGAAGGCTTCTCTAAAGAAATTACAGAAGCAGGAAGTGCTGTAAAAGAGGTTGCCAGGGTGAAAGAATTCCTTCCTGGCCGGTTTTAATGGAGCATAGTGGCTGCTGGAGAAAGCACAGCAATTGCTGAGTTTATAGCATGTATCTGATTAAACAGTAAACTGTAATTTGAAATCATGCCAAAATACACAGAGAGCACCCTCTGCTTTTTGGTCAGAACAGAACACTTTGGATGCAAATGATTTTGATTCACTGATTCTCTGACTAGGCATATTCCTCTAATTGTACAGGGTTCTACTTAACTATTCTGCATGTGTAAGAAGCATTTTTTAGGCAGAACGATAAAAGGCATTCTCTCAATATAGTCTAACTTTTACCTCCTCTGTTAATTGATTAAAGTCCTGGACAATAATACAAGACTATTTCAAGAGCCAGTTGCAGACTCACAACTGCAAAAGTTATTTCTTCATTGCAGATACTAGGAAATCTGGCACGAGGAAACATGTCTGGAAAACCCAAGCTGCACTACTTCAATGGACGAGGCCGGATGGAAACGATTCGGTGGCTACTGGCAGCAGCTGGGGTTGAGGTTTGCCTCCTGAGATCCTGTGACCAATATGTGTTTTTACTGTTCTGTATGAGAAGTGTGATTGAGCAGCAGTTTCAAACTTTGCATTTAGTGCATTGCTGAGCAAGCCAACAGTGACCACGAGCCTG